GGCCGAGCCAGCATGACAAAAGGAGTGCGGGCGGAGCGGCGTGGGTGGGGTGGGAGTAGAGGAGGGAGGGAGGGAGGGCACAGAGGAGGCCAAAGTTGCCAAAGTTAGGCCATTCTACCCGAAACGTGCTGTTTGGTGGCTGAGGCACTTTGAAAGGAGGGCAAAGACATCTGCATTTAGGAGAATCATCCTAATACGGCAATACGCCGCTCTGCTCGCTGCTCTCGCGAGAGCCCCCCGCCTCTCTCTCTCTCTCTCTCTCTCTCTCTCTCTCTCTCTCATCACGATCATACCCCTGATCCTCCCTTCTCTCCTGTCTTGGCCGACACTTCTGCTGGGGCTCATTTGACAACTCTCTTTCTCGCTCTCTGTTCTTTAACCTGCCAAAGGCGAAAAAAAGTAGACTCTTATGCAATCATTATTATTTTCGGAAGCTCCTCAGGGCCCCAATTCGACATTGTTCGTGCCGCGTCAGCGTCAAGTAGTGTGGGCGCGGTGTCCTGCTTGACTCATTCAGAAGAAAAAGGGGCCAAGACTTTGCGACGTCTAACTCCCTTCGCACCAACAGGGCGCGGTCTGCAGCAGTGACAAACTTCCGTAAACGCGGCGCGGTGGAGCCGGGTGTTCTGCGGCCCTGAAGGAGCAGGCGAGGCTGTCGTGGAGAAATATAAATCTCACGTTCGTGGAAGTAGTTCTCGCGGGGCGTGGATCATTCCCACGGCCGTCAAGGATAGTGGGCGTCGCTGAACGGTCGGATGGCTCGTTAACAGCGCACAAGAAACCTTTTCGGCGAAAGAGAGGACGTCGTGCTTTAACGGACGGCAGACCTAAATGACTCGGCCCTTAACGCGAGTACCCCATCCGGCGGTGGCCGTGAACCCAACCCGCCGCTCCAACTGAGATTTTTCTTTGACTGCGCGGCCGTTAGCGCTGGCGGGCCTCGAAGTGCGCGGCGGTGGTCCAGAGCGTGCCCGCCCGCCAGCCGCATAGACACAAGTACGTGTGTTAGCGCTGACACTGTTGAATTGCCGGCACAACTTTCCTTCCCCCTCGCACTTTCCCAGGGGGAAAGAGTCAAGTTTTCTCATTCCCGCCCCCGCGTGCTCGCCCTCGTGCAGGGAAAGCGGGGGGTGGAAGGGAAGGGGTGCCGTGGGGGGCGAAAGGTAGACAAAAAGTGGTGCGGCGGTGGCGAAGGGGGCCCGGCTCGACTCCTTGTCATTGGAGTTTGAGAGATCCTTGACCTGCGCTGCGGTTGGTGCGGCCGCCGGGTCGATCGTGCTGAGCGCTGTGCTTGCTGCTGCACACGATACAGTACGTACACCTCCGCGGTGGGCGTGCTGCAGGCGCACGCTGCTGCACACGATACAGTACGTACACCTCCGCGGCGGGCGCGCGCCCGCCACCTGGGGACACCCAGTCCGCCTGTCAGTAGCTCTCCGTCCCGCCCCTCGTGTCATGCGTGCCAGCGCCCCCATCTGTCATCCTCATCCCAATTCTCCTCAGATGGCGCGCGGGGTGCCGGGTGCGGAGTGCCGCCACCGTGGCCTGGCTTGTGCTCGCGTGTGCGCGTGTCTGTGCTGAATGATGAATGATTTTTCCGCGCTCAAGAAACAAATAATGTGAGCGAATTGTTCCCGCGTATGTGCATAAGCAGCGCATCGCACGTCCCCGTTAGGCATATTATCCGTTAACATATTTTTGTTTGCGCCCTTGCGTCGTGTCGTCTGCTACTACAAAAGAGCGAGCAGGATACGGCGATGCCATATCTCGCTGGATGTCCACGTTGCCCGCACGGGGCGCAATACACAGTCCCCTCGCCCCAGATCAGCCTGTATTGGCGTCCGTTCGTTTCCCGATTCCATCCGCGGATGAGCTGTAGCCCCATCCCCTCTCTCTCCCTCTTTCCCTCTCTATCTCTCCCTATCTCTCTTTCTGCCCGCATGACGCTTACCCTTTCGTCAGCGCGCGCTCCGCGAGGACGGCGTCCACAACTTTGCCGTTCCTGCCCCCCCCCCTTTTCCTCCTTACACACACACACGCGCGCGCGCGCGCGCACACACACACACACACACACACACACACACTTACGCCCTTTACGGCGACCTACCATCCGCCCTAACCAAGGCTCTTCTCGTGCCGGTGAAGCTGCGCAGCTGTAACAGCAGACCGTGAGCCCTACTCGTACAGAGCCCCGCGCTGTGAGAGTGACGACGTTGATCATCTGATAACGTGGCGACCTCGGTGGCGACTGCACATCGGGTAGCTGTTCACGACTAGCATCGGCAGCTTTGAGAAAGGCTGCTCCTCGTGCCGCGTTTGCGCTTCCGCGCCGACGTCTCCTTGTGGTTGTGTAGGAGCGGTGACGCGGGGGATCCTCTGGGCTGCTGGGATGAAATTGGAGGTCGCTCCAGCTCGCTCCAGCTCGCTCCAGCTCGCTCCAGCTCGCTCCAGCTCGCTCCAGCGCGGTGGTTGGCGGCTTGGCGGCTTGGCCTCTCGCGCTGACAGCCCCGTAGGCCCACCGGTACATTCCACCCCGTCATCTCCCCCGCCCCTCCCCCTCCCGCGCCCCGCGCCGTCTCTCGCGAGTCCCCACAATCGTAACTCCAGTCACGCGGCGGGGGAAGTCGTTAACTCACCTTATCTTCACACGCTGCTGCCTGGTCGATCTCGCTTCTCTCTCTTCTCCCCCTTCTCCCTCTTCACTCTCTCCTTTCTCCATATCGCTCACTCACTCCGTCGCTCACGCTGCGCCGACTCGACATCTTCTAATCGGACTCATCCTGGAACGAACCCACTTGCTCTTTTGGGGAGTACCAATGATAAGAATATTTTCTTGGATATTCCACGCCTATCGACAACTCTGAAGGCGTTCTCTATATACCGAAACACTTTGTTTCGATTCCTTCGCCGTTTTCTTGCCTTTATTTCAAGCTCGCCGCAAAGGGTTGAGCGCCCCCGTTGCGCGTCGCGTGAGACTAATAACGGGCGCTTGCCGTCAATTTGTCGGCTAATTCCCTTGAGCAGCCTGCTGGATCGGCCTCTGGCTCGCTTACTGACCTGGTGCCAGCCGCACTGCAGGAATGTGGCCCGCGGTTCGACCCTCTCGATCGCCAGAGGTTTGTAGCTGCAGTCGTCGTTATAACCGTTTCTAGAGAAGTTGCTGCTTGTACGGGCTCCTCAGTTTTGTCCGCTCAGGAGTGTTTTGTCGGAGACATGGGGGGAAGGGGGGGGGGTGTGGAAGTCGGTGGTGGTGAGGAGCAGAATGTTTCTTTTTTCTGTCGGCGCGCCA